ATAACATGATGACTGCGAACAGGATGAATGGAAGAGAAAAACATATTACGCCGACCACAGATAAATGGGATAAGGAAGAAGCAGATGATGATGGTATATATATATATATATACATGTATGAATTTTTCACGATGTGCTAACTGATCTCATCCTATCATTCTCCAATGGTGCCCCGCCTAAGGTGCATAAACCGCTAGCGCAGGCGGGGGCACCATTCCATTATCATCCATTAGAATGTTTTAAACCACAATAATTAAATCGTGATGAAATAGCAGTTTTAATTCCAAAATCTCAGTCTGGGCGGTGCCATGCCAGCGTAAACCGCTAGCGCAGGCCGGGGCCCCATCCATTGCAAAAATGTGTTTAAGAACAATCTCTAAAATGAAACAGCAGTTTAAGTTCCAAACTCTCAGTCTGGGTGGTGCCCCGCCAGCGTAAACCGCTAGCGCAGGCCGGGGCCCCATCCATTGCAAAAATGTGTTTAAAAACAATCTCTAAAATGAAACAGCAGTTTAGTTCCAAACTCTCAGTCTGGGTGGTGCCCCGCCAGCGTAAACCGTTCGCGCAGGCCGGGGCACCATTACATTATCATCCATTGCAAAAATGTGTACAAAAAATCTCTAAAATGAAACAGCAGTTTTAGTTCCAAACTCTCAGTAAATCAATAGATATTTAAAATTACGTGGCTAATTAAATATTTCTCAAGTCACAAGCTCTGACAGTCGAGATCGTGATTATTGTAGGAATAACAGAATAGGCGCAGGTAAGTTGTTGTAATTTTAATAATAGCATGCGCCAATTGATGTAATGTCTTGCTCAGTTGCGATTGAATAAATGTAGGCCGATTTTTTAGTACACTCTGACAATAGTACATTCAATTTTTTCAGTCAATTTTATTCATTTCAATGTTTGTGCATGACTACTGAAATGCCTTGGTGGTCTAGCGGTTTAACACATCGCTTTACTTCCTTTCATCGTGGGTTCGATTCCTCGCACGGTACAAATACTTGTATTCGTGATTATGACTGATTGTATCGGTCTGGGTGTTTTCTGTATATGTATTTATAAAAAAATATTTAAGTATTTATATCAGTTACGTAGTAACCAGAACACAAGCTCTGATTACCGTGGGACTAGATGGCGTTGTGTGAATTGTACACAGACGCAATTTTTTTTCCTGAAATATAACAATCATGAAATAAACTCTCAATAAAATCATTTCTATACTACAGCGTTATAAGAAATTGCAAATATACTATCATATACTTTCATATGCATTTAGTTAACAGCTGTTAATTTGAAATTACAAAAACAGTTCTGTTTTATTTATTTGTATAGACTTAAATGGAGTCTGTTTTATTTTAAAATTGAATACTATATGATATCTATATCTATCTTATTCTATCTAGTTAATAATAAAGATTCTTATTTTTCTTTTATATATAACATATTTAATCCATCTACCCTTTCTTCTCCCTTACCATTCACGTTCATGCTGCACACCATCAATAGTTTCTCAAAAACATGGTGTTCCTTCTACAAGCTTAATTCTACTGAAAACAATACAAATAAACCTTCCATCTTCAATTCAATACTCTGATTCATCTGACCTAGACCTGGGTCAGTGACACGTAAAATCAATTGTCAAAGTCCAACAAAGGATTAGGACAAGATCGAAATTGGTTCTGTTTTTTAATCGGCGAGTGCCCACGCAAAAAAGCCACTTGCACTCACTGCCACCGCATTACATCAAGTTCTATTTTCAACGGTTGCCAATGTGATTACATAAAGAAATCCCCCTCAATTCGTTGCATAAATAACACTACCACTGGAATTGTTATCAGAATTGCGTCAAACGTGATAAAAGGCGTCGAATTACACCGATTCGATACATTATAAAGGATTTTAATTATGACTTTTGCAAGATTAGTACAGTTGACTCCGTAAAGACGGTAGATGACGAAGTTAAGAATGATAATTTTTACGACAAAGTGTCGCCCGTGTCGCCAAAAATTTGTTTACAAATAATTATAGTTTTTAAATTTTCACCATTTTCATCTAAAAGAAAGCATCTAAATAATATTATTTAGATTCTTTCTTTTAGATGAAAATATCACGGTAACAAAGTTTAATTTTCATACCAAAGTTCACGTGTTGCCAACAAATTATTTATAAATAGTTTACTTTTTAGTTTAGGTTACAGTTTTTAATTTTCATCATTTTCATCTAAAAGAAAGCATCTAAATAATACGATGGTAACAAAGTTTAATTTTTAGAACAGAGTTCCCGTGGTGCCTAAATTTTATTTACAAATCGTTACAGTCTTCAAATTTTCACCATTTTCATCTAAAAAGCATCTAAAAGATATGTAAAGATTTGCTTCAATTACTAGATACTAATATCTTTTTCAAATTTGAAAGTGTTGATAAAATTTCAAATCTGTCCACCTTATAGTAAATTATACCTGCATACGTATATAAACAGTATCATCATCATCTGCTTCTTCCTTATCCACTTCATTTGTGGTCGGCGTAACATGTTTTTATCTTCCTTCTCTGTTAGCTATCTTCTCTTATTTACTTCTTTTCTTACCATATCATCTTTCACAGTGCCTACACTTCTTCTTCGGCCTTACTCTGCCCTTATAACCGTCCACATTCATATGTAACATATATAAACAGTACGACGACGGCGTTAACATCGTTACATGATGCCTCTGATAGACCTCATTTGTAACCTTTCCTGGAGACTATAATGTTCGCCTCCATACTACATAGTTCACTATATGATATGATACATTCTTCAAGTTACTTTCTTCATATTCTGTTTATCCTAAAACCATATATAAGATTCTATTTGCAGTGTCTGATAGAATTTAGATCACTCTTAACTCCACTGTCTGTATAATGCCGAGTGTACGTGTTGAGAGAAGTGGTGAGATTATTACAAAATTATTTGTTATTCGACGAAATAAAGCATTTTTGTTGAGTAAATTGATCAAGCGTAAATCACTTCTTAGTACTTTTATTTCAATTGCAAGATTTCAGGCTTTTCAAAAATCCTATCTACTTCACAACATTCGTTTCAGGGTTTGCTAAAGGAATTTCGACAGCCTTATTTCTGTAATCTGTGACTCTGGTTTAAAAGAATCATTCGTTTGTGGACAATTAATTTCAGTTTTGTTTAAAAAGTGAAGAGTATCGGTATGTAAATAGAATATTATAGGTTGTAGACATATTTTGATATGTACAAGTACATTCCGAAATTTTCTTACTACAAAAACAAGCATACAGCCCATCTGTTGGTAAACGGTTACAGTAACCTATGGACACCTGAAACATAAGTGTCACATGTGCATTGCGATAAATTCAATCGAGTTTCTTGCCAGTTCTTCTCAATTGGATCTATATACTGAAATGAATAGTAGGGAAAACATTATAATATAAAAAAAAATACGTTCATGTGCGGCTAAAATGTCCTACATGAATAAATTATTTTATAATTTGAATTTGAATTTGATTCTTAAGAAACCTTAATATACCCTTTTTGAAAATCCCATGCTATAGTCTCTCGAGAAAACCTCTGCAGTTCATTCTACAATGTAAGTGTACGCGGGAGGAAGCTCCTCTGAAACCGCACTGTTCGAGACCACTTAAGCATTCGGGAATAAATTCACTGTCGAAGGCGAGCGGTGCGATGGTAACAGGGAGCCGGTCTTATTCATGTCTACAATCATATAATCAACCTAATTAATATTTGTTTTATGCACAGACATTACGTATTCATATATATTTTGAAGTAATTTATTAAATCCCTAATCCTGTTGTATACTGTAGTTCTTAATAACTATGCAAAATTTGATTCATAGCAAAATCTAATGCCATTTTGCCAACTTAAATTCTTAAAGTCTGTACATAGTATAAAACAAAGTCGCTGTTGTCTATTCGCTTATATACCTTAAATTACGTAACGGATTTTAATGCAGTTTTAGCAATAGATAGAGTGATTCAAGAAGATGGTTTTTAAGTATAATAGAAGCGTGTTATAGTATAGAACAAGCCGAAAAATTCAAAGATTTGAAATGCGTCCGTATGAATCCGTGGCGGGTGCCTAGCTACTTTATAAAGATATATATATTATATATGGAGAATATCATTTCAATCACATGTATTATAATTTATTATTTATTTAACGGTTTACCTTATTTACTTCGTTATTATCTCTAATAGGTCCAATTAACCTATTTAATTTGTAATGTTAATTAAACTACTTCAGTTAACTTTAAATACAATAAAGTATACGTTAAACAATAAGTTACATAGTTAACTTTCACACGTTTAAACGTTCACAAGATCCGGTTACTGGTCAATCTTTTGTTCTTAAGATACTTATCTGTTCTCAAATAGTAACTACATAAATTTTTTGTCAATTTCTCCATCGTAGCAGTGACCTTAGGCCTAAGGGAAAAGCTTATGGAATTAATTATATCAACTAAAAATTTATAATCTATAATATATATTTTTAATATAAAAGCATGTAATAAATTATAACACAATAACATAAATCGTTAAAAAAATATAATATAAAATATTATTTATGACGATTTACCTAACGCACTATTACCAAAATAAGAATTAAAGAAAATCTAGAGTTTTATTAATTTTAGAAATTATCCTTTTACACGTCAATATTAAAATTGTACTTTAAATATTTTATTATTATTATTATACAAACACGTTAGTTGTTGTGAAAGTGATACTTTTTTAATGATGCCTTTTTAACAGTAGTTTAAATAACTTAAAGTATAAAAATTGCAGTAGTGTTGTCCATTAGGTGATACATATTTTGTGTTTGGGTAATGTTGATCACCGTTCGCTTGCTCCTATGCTTTACACCAACGCCCACTGCGCTAGAGCAATTGGTCCGCGACTTCTAACCGAGGAGATAAATACAATTGTCAATTTCCCGACCCGGTTCAGTCAACCGCCTTACCTCGCCGCGATCGTGATGTCACGATGTACATGTCAACAGCCTTAGCGACGCTCCTAGTGCTGCAGTGTTGTGATCTGTGTGTGACAATCAGAGTCCCAATTTATTGGGACAATGGTGATAATAGTGAAGTGAATGATAAACAAAACGACTATTCTGTTGTGACTATTAAACCTGACGCCCAATTTACACAGCAGAAGCCGATACCGCTCGAATATTTTGAGTACACAGCAAAGAAACCGCAATTTGCTATCGATGTAGCTGCGTTTCACGGTGTGCAGTCGCCAGAAACTCATTACAAAGCATACCCTATTAGGCCTTATACGGGACAAGAAAAGCCTGATTTAGGAAAACATAGGCTACAAGACCAAAATAGAGATATATATCGTCCATTACAAAAATTTACGAAGTCCGTTGGAAATTTACAAAATCATGTCACGCCTGTAATTTCGGATTATGAAGTTTTTCATCCATATAAGGCAGAAGAACCAGCATTACAAGAATTATACAAGGATCCAGTGTTCCATAAAATTCGAAATGATTTGCGAGACGCGAGTAAGAATATTGAAAATTATGAGAAAAAAGAAGAAAAGCCGAATAATACAAAGGATGAATACTTAGAGTCTCCAGATCAAATTGATCAGAAAAAAATCCCACATAGAAATGTGCCAACTCAGTTTGAAATACATAGACCACAACGAAGACCTATATACTACAAGCGACTTCCAAAATTTCGTAATAGAGATCAAATTTTGAATCACAAATTTAAGCACCCATGGAACCAAAATTATGTGAAAATTCGACCAGTGCATTATAATCCTTTAAAAAATTATTTACAGAGATTAAGGCAACATCAAGCATTGACATATGATGATGAACGTAATGAATACCCACAAGTACCTGTCAAGGAAGATATCATTGAACCATCAGACGGATACGATATTTACGAAAATGGCAAAGCGAAATATATGCAACTAAGAAACAATATTGATGAATCGATAAATAAAGCTGTAGTAGCGAATCGGCCCCTGATATCTCAAAATTTGGAGCTTCAAAATGAAGATCAGCCGCCTGAAGATGAAGAGAATGAATTCGTACCCGTAAAAAATTATGCTCAAGTAAGAAAAACTGAAACAACTAAGCATTTACCAAAAGAAGCAGCATTTGAAGATGCAGATAGCTACGAAGAAATACGAAATGCACCACGTTTAAAAGAAGCTGTGAAAACTACAAAGGCACAAACTGTATATACAGAGGAAGGTTATGAAGATTCGGCGTATGATCATGCAGGTGAACAAAAACATGCTTCAGACCATGAAGGACATGGTGGATATCTTAAAGAACAAGAGATTAGTGGAGGTAAATATAAAATACCAACTGTAAGTGGCAGTTTTGATGACGCTCATGGATCTGCATATCAAAATAATAAATTACATGGAACAAAATGGAAACATAGTGACGAAAATAATAAGGAAAATATAGATTCTGAAGATTACTCTGAGAATGATCAACAACAGTCTGTTGAAGCAAAAATTTACAAAGAAGGTATTAATGACAGTAGTAACGACGATGATGAATCTGAAACTGACCTTGAAAATACGAACGATATGAATAATCATGATGTAAATAAACGAGAAGCAAATTTTAAAGTTCCTGAAATAAATTTGAATACAACATATTTAACTGAAGACGAAATACTGGAAATTGCTAAAGAAAAAGTAATTATTAATAATGATTTCAAATTAAAATATCCATATTACCATAAAAAACTCAAGTCATTAAACAAAGATTCTCCGCTCAGGTATGCAGAAAACCTGAAACTTATACCTAAGAAATCAGAGGGAGGTACTGAATTTTACGATTCTAGATCACAACTGGTATGTCCTGAGGTAGACGAAAACGTTGATGCTATACCAAACAAACTGAAAAGAAAAGGTCACCCAGACGGCGATGAAAATTCTGCTCAGAATGATGAAAAGGAAATTGAGGTACTTGAGGAACAACCTCGTCTTAAACGGCTAGGTGATAAAATAGATTGTTTTAAGGCAAAATACTTTGGTGAAAATCCCCTAGACAGTCCATTTTTTAAGGAAGAGTTAATAGCCAATCCTGATCCAATTATTTTGCCAAATATTCCAACATATAAAATAAAAGAAAATCGTGAGCAATTTTCACTTAAACCAATAATTAATACAATAAATAAAGAAAAAAATAACAAAAATAGTAAAAGAGATGTTTATGATTTAATCGACAAGTTAAGAAATAAACAATTTACACCAAAAGAATCTTTGAAAAATGACAGTGATTATTTACGATTATTACTTATATCTCCTCAAGATACATCTATTAATAATAGTCAAATATTGCAGGAATCAAGGTTTTCTATGGATCTTATTGATAACATTGAAGACAATACGTCAAATTTTACATCCAATACTGATAAAAATAAGACAGATATTAATTTATTGAATGATACTGTGCATAACAAATCTGATGGTAATGTTACCTATGAGTTCTTTAAAAATAAAGAAGAAATTAAGAAAATATCTAAAAGTAATAGAAAGAAAAGAGCAGCACCCTTTATATACGAACCCTATAAAATAATAAGAGATGGACAAATTCAAGAATCTAAACGGACAACGACATCTAGTAATATAAGCCCACTTATAAAACAGCTTCAGTCCAGTAATGTTGCTGATAAATTCACAAATGTAAATCAAGACAAAAATTCTACTAAACAAAATAATAGTCGTATGTATAAAGATATTGGTAAAAGAGACAGGGAACAGTCAAAAAATTCAAAAGAAAATATTGGAACCTCTGTACGAATTGTTGATGTTAATATTGACAAACGACGGGGCGAACCAAGGTACGAAATAAGACCTTCCAATCATAAATGGCAATATTCTCCAGTTGAAAACAGAAAAGCTATGTCTGTAAAAGACTATGAAGCACAAACTAATAGTAAAAGAAATAAAGATAAACTTCAGTCACGATCATTATCACTAAACCGTAACAAATCAGATTTTACACAAGAAGATATACAAACGCCGGCAGCATCAAATACTATTAAAAAGACTATTATAACCACCACTACTCCTCCTGCATCAGAAATAAACAATAACAGTGATGAGAGTGAGGAAGAATATGATGAATATGAAGAGGAAGACGAGGAAGAGAAAGTTGAAATTATTACTACAACAACTACAACTACACCAAAACCAATATTCCGAAGAAAACTTAAAACAACAACTACTACAGAACAAAATGTAAAAGTAGAGAGTGCGACGACCGAGATTCCGAAATTACGATTAGTTACAAGATTCCGTAATTCTCCACATGTTCATGAAGACAAACATGAGCAGAAAAACAATTCCAAAGCAAATACATATAATGATGCCAATAATTCTCCAAAGTACAGAGAAAAGAAAAAAAAGAGTACGAAAAGTACATTAGTAACCGACACAAAAAGCTACGGCGAAGATGATGATAACATGAGAGAAGAAGAAGTTGATGCATTGATTGGAGTTAAACAAGATATGAATGATTATATGCCTCTATATGAAAAAGAAGCAAGAGAAAAAGAGAATCAGTCAATAAGATCTAGTGAAGAAAATAGCAGCGAAGAAGATGATTATGAAGATGAAGACGACGAAAGTGGTATTGAAGATGATGAAGATGAGGACGATGAAGACGATGAAGACGAGGAGGAAAATGTACCTATACTGATAACAACGACGCCAGAACCTACTAAACGTACTTTGATTATGACTACTTCAGCTCCATTATCAATAACTGAACCAGTAACAACGGAACCTAAGAGAAAACCTATAGTTTTAAAGAAAAAAATAGAAATACATAAGGAGTTACCAGTTAATAAATCATCACCTCATATTACTCAATATAAACAAGACATCAAAGAAATAGAAATTGTTAAAGAAATGCCTCGAAATATTGTTCATAAGATGCCAAAAAAAAATTCAGAACTATTAGAGTTATACAAAGATGAAAATCTGGCAAAAAATGTAAATAAATTAGATGCTGTAGAAGTATTCAAAGAAGATTTGGATCTTAAGAATAGTCCAAGACATGGAGGAAATTATAAAAGTGCTAAAACAGTTCAACAAATTAAGGAAACTCCTACCTCTAAACTAGTACATAGAGATAATTCTAGAGTTCCTAAAGAAGATGCAGAAGCTTCTCAAAGTGAATATAAAAAATCTATAGAGTTTGATGACGATATATCATCTATAAGAATGCACGGAGGTAATTTAAAAGCTATTGCGAATATAAAAAACTATAATAAAAGTGATAACAAAAATGTCAAATTGGTAGAACTCGCAGAAATACCAGAAAATAATCCTATACCAGTACATAGTGGTAACCTGAGACTACTTAAGGATATGAAACGAAGACATGTTAAGGAAAATGAAAAATTAATTGAACTAAGTGATGATGATGTTGAGGATTATGACGATGTTCCTTCTACGCATACAGACAATTATAAACCTTATAGCTCTAGACATGGGGGTGGGTCTATGCATGGTGGTAATTACAAAAGTGCGAGGCTTGTGCGAACAGAAAAAAGAAAACCAGAATCTTCTGCTAAAAAGGAACAATCTAATATAAATGTTGATAGTCAAAAAGATCCTAGAGCCAAAGCTGCAGTACTGCTAAATAGTTTCGCACAAGCAGTACCCATATTAACAACTACGCCTGCGTATATATTAGATCCAAGTAAACGTATGTATTATTACGTTGAAGCTTAAATATAATTAAATTAATTCATAATTAAATTCATAACAGCCTTTTGTCCTTTGATATATGTATTCAAAGTAATTATAGGTTATGACTGTAATAGAAAGTGCCACAAAGTGTGTTTTATGTTACTTTTATTAAACAAATATTGTTAAAGTAAATAAAATCACATTGAGTTGTTTTTAAATTAATTCTTATGAAAGATAATTGAGAGAATTATGCTTCTGTGATAGATGTATTTACATGGATATTTTGTAAATGTGTATATTTTTTATAAATAAATGTAATAAAATATGTTGTGTTTTATTATTATAGTAAATGATAAGATAGATAAGAATTTTATTTGTATCTTCTGCATACACATGAAGCTTGTTTGTAGCTGTAAATGTGTAAATGCATAGTTACGTTATGTTCTTCACTGTCATAATTTATATTAAAAAAATCTCTGAATTTTAACTCTTCTTAGAGATAAGATTGTCTTTGTACTTTAGTTTTATTTTATTTAACTGTTTTACTATTTATTTTGTATTGTATAATGAGTATAAATTAGTAAATAATATCAGTCAAACCTTTATGAAGTACTAAGCCAATATTTAACTAGTCACTTACCTTTTAACACAATATACGTTGATTGTAAAATGTGACTAGATTATTCCTTCTTAATAGATATTTTTTTGACTACATACTCATTTCGCTTGTTACTAATGTTTCAAAATTGCTCTGAAGCAGTACTGTTTGTATTGTTGAAAACAATTACCAACAAATTGTTCCACTTTAATACTTCACGTAGCGTACATTCAACTCTGCACAAAAACTATTCGCTTTCACTTTCGTATCTCTGTATCGCTTAAAAAGGTTGTCAATTTTCTGAACCCATTTGATTTTAATTAAAACCGTGATTTGCTATTACGAAATGGAACATGTCAGGTTTCAAACTGTTGGCCATGTCTGATTGGCTATTGACTCAGTGTGATTACGGCCGATGTTGCAAATGATAACAATGACTCTTTTATTCTTTATACGTTTATTTCTGTGGCAAGTCTTTCAATTTATAAAACGAATACAATTAAAATCTATTCATTATAACTAGTAAACTAATTCGTATAATAAATTAAGAATAAATTAAATATTTTATAAATATATTAAAAATTCGATTTGGCTTCAATTATAACCTTAGTTATAAATATTTGCTATCAAATAAAATCATTATTTAAACAAGTAATATACAAAACACATTTAAGTTGTGCTTTTATGATATTATGATATTATATAATCTCAGATGTATCTTATCAGATTAACATTCTCATTGATATAAGAATGTTATATAATCTACTAATGTTTCTTTTGTCTAATTATGTCGGAAGATTGCAAATTTCTCGAAGGAGGGTGATTTATAGGTTTCCATTCCGATTCAGGAGGTTCATAACTTGATATATTATCTTCTCTATCTATAGATTCATTTACGTCACCTTTTTCTTCGGCACCAAAAAAGTCTATAATTGGATGATAATTATAGTTAACTCTTTTACCATTGGAGGTAAAATTTTCGTCGGGTTCACTGTTTTGTTCATGTGGTCTGAATGACGTTGTGATTTTTTCCGTAGTGGCTGCTTGCAACTTTGGCGCTATAGTAATTCTTCTAGGTACATTCGAAGTAACCGAACCTATTTCATGTTCTACTGATTTATCTATATCTTCCAAAGTTTCTAAATTGCCATTGGAAAGTGATCCAACAGATGATGTACCAGATGATACCAAATCATCAGGTCCTCCAGAAATCTTCTTTCTTATTGGCAGACGACTTGGTCTGACTGGTCCTCTTTTAAATTGGCTTCCGGTTATCTTATATTGATTAGGTGTTTCTTTTACAAAATTAAATGAAGAAGGTCCAGATGGCGTTGGAGGTTCTAAGTAACTTGGCAGTGTAACCGTATCTAAATTGGCAGATCCTGCAGGGTTTCTTCCGGGCAGTGGTCGCTTTACGTTTCTTATTGAACTTGCTTGGTTAAAGGAATCTGGATAGTATGTATTTCCATAAGAGTCCATAGGATTAGATTGCGGTAGTTTACCTGTATTAACAACTACTTCATCATTATCGTTCAATTTTGAATTGCTAAATGGTATTCCAGATAGCAAATCGTGATTTTCATTGAAAGATGGGAAGGGTTCCAGTTGTTTGCTATGAGTCAATCCAGGTGATTTTATACTTGGTCTATGAACCGTAGATTGGACTGCTTCAAATGCGTGGTTTCCGTGTTCTGATGAAAGGTCTTCCCCAGGAAATTGTTCTGAAGACGTTTCGTGAACTCGGTGACCAAGTGGAGGGAAAGATACGCTGTAGCCTTCTATGTGGCAAGAACAACACGTGGGTACCTGAAAAGATTTAATTACAAATTTATACCTTCTTACGTTATGTTTAGTTGTACAATACTTATTTAATTTTCGTCTGAATGTCTTAAATATTAGCACATGATATAAAGGTTATGATAAATAAAGAAATCAATGATATAAATTTACCTTAAATATATCCATATGTAGACCATTTTGCTGATCCCATGTTAAAAGTCTGTGATAATTGTACACTTGTACACATTTCGACTTGAAATTGTCTGTGAGGTATGTACAAGATTCTTTTGGTTTCCTAAAATCATAGAAAACAATTTATGTAAAAATTATCAGACCTATTGATTTCTTATATGTAAATATACTAGCTGACCCGGCAAATGTTGTTTCGCGGTAAATAGATTGGTAGGGTTGATGGTAGAAGGGAGAAAATTTAAGGTTGTATATATTTTTTAATGACAAATCTATAATAATGTTACCATCCATAAAAAAGATCTTGACCAAATATTAAAGCAATTTATGAAATCAGAGACTATCATTATAGATATTTTTTGTTTCAATCTGTAAAATTTCTATAATATAGTAGTTCAAATTGAGGGAAAAGGATATTGTTAGTAATGTGTAGTAATGACCTCAATGCTAGCAATATACCATGTCAGATAGATATCCACGCCAAGTCAAGTCAAGTCAAGCCAACGCCCCAAGGGGGAGGGACCCCCTCTGGAAACCATCGTAATGAATTCCTGGTGAATTTGTCACTATAAACTATCAGACCTGACATGCTCATCTTATCATCCTCTACTGCCCCATAAACCGTTAGCACAGGCGGGTGCACCATTCCATTATCATCCGTTAAAAAATATATCAAGTGAGTAACTTACAAGCACTTTTCTAGTCGTAAAGTCTGCGTGTGCTCCCCAGTATTGACAATGTACTTCCACTGGCCAGAAGTGGCTCGGGCTCGCTGGGGTCTAGCATATTTGACAATACTGGGGCACATGAAGCCAGCTTCTCCAGCACCCGCAAAGTCACGGTTTGCTGTGTCACCTCGCCTGGTAATAATATAGTTTTTTTTTAATCTACAATGGTGGTAAACAAGCAAACACCAGGGGTGTCACATGCGCGTTGCTAACCCTGTTGAATAGTTGGTGTAATATGGTTGAAACTTTACACAATATGTCGTGGTACGGAAAGCTAACCCAGGATAAATAACATCGAAGACGACCCCGGTGGTCTAGCGGTCTAGCACACCACTTCATGGTCGCGGGTTCGATTCCTCGCACGGCACAAACATTTGTATTCATGAGTATGATTGTTTGTATCGTTCTGGGTGTTTTCTATGTATAATATGTATGTATTTAAAAAAAATATTTATGTATATGTATCAGTTATCTAGTAACTATAACACAAGCTTTAGCTAGCTTAACTTGGGTCTAGATGTGTGAATTGTCCTGAGATTATTTTTTTTTTTTTTTATTTTATTATTTGAACCAGTAGTTGCTGAGATTAGCGCGTTCAAACAAACAAACAAATTCTTTTGCTTTATAATTTTAGCATATATTACACCTGGTGCCTTATACTCTTACAGACTAAAACCTTTATTTGTTATTTCAGTTATTATTATTAGAATAAAAAAATAGAAACATATATTTCTATATTTTCTTTACTCTCACCTATTGGAGACCAGGTAATGATCAGCCGTGTACTTCGCCTCCTGAGCAGCCGTGACCCCATCGACAGCCCCGTCACCAGGATCCCTGTAATCAGCCAGGAGTGCCCCAGCTGCCGCCTTGTTGCGTCTGATTGTCTGTACAATCATGTCTCTGAAATTGAATAGTTTTAATTATTTTTTCTGTATGTAATTTCTGATAAATTTAATGTTCTACAAATCAAACGTCATTTTTATTCATGTAGGAAATTTTTACGTTTATGAACGTCAAATTTTTTGTATTAATATTTTTTTCCTACCGTCCAGTTCAGTACATAGATTCAATTGAGAGGAACCGTCAAGAAACTCCACTGAATTACTTTTTTTTAAGTTATATACAATGTATATTTATATAGGTGTCTATGTCTAACATTAAATGAAAATCCCGTGCATGAACAACTATTGTCAAGTTAGTTACTTAGTTTGAAATAGTATATATTTTTACCATCTAATTAAAAAATATTGTATTGCTCCGTAGTTTGTTATACTGTCACTTAATCTATTTACATTATACAAGTGTTTGGACTAGACTTCATTCGTTTCTTATGTGTTATATTGATTGATAAGAAAAATAGTAAGTACATCCTCAATTAATACTAATACAAAGGAAAAATATAAACATACAAAAAACATTTTTTTTACCAGTAACTTCGTCTGTACACTCAGTTGTATAGATAACAATTAATATGACATATAATAAAAAAAGTAAAAAAGGAATCTGACTCGTGAAGGATTTGAACCTCCGCCCTCCGATAATCAATCAACAGAAGATATCGGTGCTCTTACCTACTGAGCTAACGAGTCGCATTACGCGTATTTCAAAAACGTGCTTTATATTATGAGGAATAACGTCAACCGATCTGACGTCATTTTCTATTACTCACCGAGTGGCGGTAAACAAACTAATGTAGCTGAACTGATGTCACAACAGATATGATATGATTAACTGCATATCAGGCACTTGATAACAATGTTATATTTATAAGACATTGTTCAATGCTCATTGCCAATTTGTATCAATAACTTTATTTTATTTTCATACTGTAGGTTGCTTCAAATATACTAAAAAAAATGGAAACAAATTGCGAGGAGCTCTGTCGCCAAGGTAGATAATGAGGACATACCATCAAGAAAGCCACGACCTGTCAAGAGTTTAGGTACAATGAATGAAGAACCCAGAACAATTAACACAGTGCTATCTAGTCCTAATCTAATCAGAGCTTGTGTTGTGGTACCTACTAGATAACTGATATAAATACATCGATTTTTTTCTAAATATATTGAAAACCTATGTATATAATCAATGCTACTGAAACCGTACTATCAACAAGGGCGGATCCAGCTTTGGCGCCAGGAGGGGTCACATAGTCGTGGTCATGGCGCCAGGAGGGGGTCACATAGTCGTGGTCAAGTCAAGAACTTATAATTTAATTTTGATAACAATAAAACGTTAAATACAAGTTAAAAATAGGTATTTTAATAATGTACAAAGTTATTATATTATATTAAATTAATTAAATATTGAGGGTATGTAGTTACATAAAATCTGTATGGTGACAAAATATATAAATAAAATCATTATGTTCAATTAATGGTCCACCTTAGTCCTGGAACCAGCTGAGCCCCCCCCCCCCTTCAGCTGGTCATGAAACCCATGAACACCCCCCCTGGATCCGCCGTTGACTAGCAATGGGGTCATTAATCCCTCACCCCTGCGATTTCTGGTATATGATGATTTTTTTTCAAATTAATGATAATGAAATGGTGCACCCGCCTGCGATAACGGTGCACCAGTGGAGGATGATAAGATGAGCATGATGTCAGGTCAGTTAGAACATCATGTCCAATTCTCCATGAATTTATCGGTTCAGGAGGAACTGCATGAGGACTACCTAATATATTCCTAGCAATGGGAGTTGTGCAAATTACTAACATAGCTACTTCACCCCACATTTTTCAATAATAACACTAACCGTGTGACCTTCACATGCATCCATCCAAACTGCGTAACTGCGCAATGCGTAAATCAAAATTAGGGACCTGTTTTAGCACAAGATTGGAATTTCTTTAGTGGAACTCGATGTTTTACTTATTTAGACATGTAATATAAAAAATTGTACAGAGCAAGAACCACTTGTGTAACATGGCCGAGTTAGAAGTGAGTGATATTTATTATTCTTCCACCCGCAACAAACTGTTACATTTTTGTTGTAACTTAAGCTCGCGAAAAGGACCAAATCCTCATTGTCTTCTTAAATTAGGTAATGAATTCACCAGTACTTATATTTTTTATTGACTTTATGAGTGATTTGTTAATTTTTCTTGTAAATAATATTTATTATTGAATCAAGTAAGGTATTTAAAATTTAGAAAACGATTGTATAATATATTAATTATTAAGCGACACATAACTACCTATGTAAATTATTAGTAATTTTAACTACGAGTATATGCATATAGTCACTCATTGCTATTTAATACTATAAAGTGGAATCCGTTATTTTTTTTTAATAATAGGTAACATAAAAAAATCTATTAATTTTATACAATTTTTTTTTTAATGCTTTTTAACAGCCAATAACGAAGGCTTATAATAATAGGTTACATAAAAAAACTTTATTAAACTTAAACGATTTTTTTTCAACTACAAAATGGTATATTAACAGCCAGTAACATAGGCAGTGTTTTATTTTTAAAATATAAAATATTTTAAAATAAAACATTTTTTATACTGTAATAATTCCGACATCGTCATCTAGTACCAATCTCCATAATATGTATAGAAAACAACAAGACCAATACACACAATCATCTTCATGAATACAAATGTTTATACCATGCAAGGAATCGAACCCGCAACCATCGGAGGTAAAGCGGTGCTAAACGATTACCGAAAAAAGGAAATTATCTTATATATTCTTTATTGTACTTTTTAAATACATCATTATTTGAATAGAGATTATTAATTACAGTATTTATAAAATTTCTAAAAACACAAGTACAGCCGGATTGTATCGCTAGTGAGTAATAGAAAACAATCCAACAATAGCTACGGTTAAAATGGCCTTGTGTTTCGGCCTTCATGACTAATGGTAGTCGGAGTGACGTCATTTCAAATATAGTGATACTTGAATATCCCTATGGCGGCAACAGACTCGTTAGCTCAATAGGTCAGAGCACCGACATAATCAGCAAGCCTAGAAAGTCGGAGGGTGTAGGTTCAAATCCTTCACGAGTCCTAATAATTTATTTTTAACAGTATCAATAATTAATTAGTGCTATGTGGTAGTTTGTAGACATTTCAACTTAAACTATATTTAAAAAAAAAGAAGTGATGTCTATTTAAAAGTGCTTCAATTTAAGTTTATTTGAATGAAGTTGTGATGACAGGAGTGGTGGTGAGAGTAAACACACACAGTAGGGTGTAACTTGTATATTTAACTGTTACATCTTGAATACTCTCGCTTACACTAATTACATAAACTATATATATGAGGTACTGCGTGACCTACGTGTCGTTATACAAAACGTACACTCGCACAATCTTTTACTGAACGTGCTGATTTGCATCACTATACCACACCTCCCCTGAAAAGTAGGGTGTCTATGGTGAGGGTGTCCCCTCCCTCTGAAAGTTTAACATTACAAGGACAATTTTATTATTTAAACATACAAAAAGACAAAAAAAAAACAGCACCAAGGATTAATTTAACTTAACAATTTCTCAAGGTATATCATACCTGAGTACAAAAAAAATACAAACTTTTATAAATACATTGTATTATTAATACATATTTGTCATCATCTAACAGATCTTGTTTTCTACTAAACGAGTAGTAACCAAAAATTAAAATTAGGCCTTTTACTCTATAACAATTTTAAGAAATTTTATGCTTTACATTATTGGCCAATGTGACAATGCTCACTTCATTATCTGTACTTATTAACTTACTATACTTATCTATACATTTTACAGTATACCTACATAATCGTAAAAACTCATCATACTTCTGTATATACCGACAGAACTTATTAACTTGAGACTTATTGTACATATTTTTAATAATTGTAACTTCCATAATATTATGATCCTTGCATATCTCTACAAGTTCTCTTAATGATTCATCTACGCCCACCTTTGTTAATAGAGACGTTTGATTTAAATATATTATAGATCCAGATAGAACTACATTGCACGCATTATCATGCATATTATGCATACCTAACACTTTTCCTAATGTCTCCTTATTACAAATATTTAATTTCACACGAAACGTGTGATTTTGTAGTAATTTCTGCCATCTTTGATGGACTAGGTTTTACTTTCACTTGAGAACATTTATTAACTTTCTTAATTGGACCTTGCGTAATAACGCCTGAACAGCATGAGTTTAATTTTTTTAACTCATCGGACGTTGCAATTATTTTCGATAATTCGTCCGTTGTTCTATTTTTCGCACAATTTCCATTTTCCACAATATAATCAGTTTTCCTTTTATTAGGAAAATTAACATATATTATACCATTTTCTCTTTTTTGAAAAGGTATACGGACCCTATCGAGTGATCCGTGGGGCTTTACACTTAAACAGCCCAATTCAAAATTTATAATACCTTTAAATTGTATTAAAAAATCTTCTCCTAATATACCATGGGAACTGCACTGTAATTCTTTAAATACATAAAACTTTTGTCTAAATTGCAGTTTCTGAAATTCAAGATTCAGGTAAACAAATCCCATTGCCTCTAGATTACCACATACGCCTTTTATTATAGCGTTATCTTTATGAATCTTAATTGAAGGCAAATTTTTTAACCAATCGTACTTTAAAACAGACATTGACGCTCCTGAGTCTGCTATCAAAAATATATCCTTATTAAAACAATTAAATTTAACTACATTATTTGTGTTAAAAGCTAAAATTTCGGTATTCTTATTTCCATGAACAAAATCTAACGATGTCTTTCTATCGCTATTCCTACTATCAGCTGACGCTTTGACGTAATTCATATGCTTACTATAACAAACTTCGCGACCTTCTTTACTATGCATTATTGTATTTTGCTGACTTCGCGCCTTAGTATTATTACGCTTCGCTTGACATTGATTTGTTCTGCGATCAAATTCTCTTGCGTCATAATTTATTTTATTTATTAAACACGTTTGGAAGTTCTTAGGAATGAATTCCTCCTCTTCTATTGCTGTTTTGACAGCTTCTTGTAAATTTGATATATTTCTACATATTATATACATTGTCAACCTACTATCGTTTAGCCCGTATGCAAATTGCCTAATTGCAATATTCTCATTTATGGGCAATAGAATATCATACGCGGTGTTCAAACCCCTCGCTTGGGCAATTGTTAATTCAACAAACAACCTTTCAATTTCATCCCCAAACTCTAAAATTGTCCTATTACCCTGCCTACATTTTTGTAGTTGCGTTAAAATGAATGTATACGATTTACTTGGTAATAGAATTTTTCTTATATCCTCCGTTAAATTATTAATATTGTCGTAGTTTGATTTTAATTTTAATTTGGCACAACTAGAAAGTCTCGTCTTTAATATAAAATTTATTAGTAAGGTATGGTCATCAGGCCTGAGGATAGTTTTGTAAAATTCAATGCCATCTAAAAGGCTTTTTATAACTTTCTCATCTCGATTCACTATAGGTAATAGCAATAAAGCTGTTTTTAAATCAAATGCGGCCATTTTTAAAATATACAGACTAATATAAAATTCTTTCAAAAATTGTGTAAGTGGCCTGTCACAGTTTGCCTACTTCCTGTTCAAAATAAGTGACTTAAATTTAAATACACAATCAAATATTATATACCACTTAATATGTCTCTAAATTATATTTTCACTACACCAAACACGTATAAAAAAAAATGTCTTCAGAAATGACACTAATCACGGCACAATAATCACTACAACTTTTGTAGACCGCTAGCACCCTTTTATTCAATCTTTATAATTCCATCTATGGATGCTTCAATCAATTTTTTAGGCACAGGTATGCGGTGAACCTCAATTTGAGGATATTGGACACCGATGGCCTAGGAACTTTAATTTCCACCGTACAATATATTGAAGATAAATAATTTATACCTCTTTGCTGCCCGAAGATCTTCAGAGTATAGTCTGATCTTGATCCATTTATGCAGCTTCTTTGTCACGGTCGCCATGTGATGACAGGAGTGGTGGTGAGAGTAAACACACACAGTAGGGTGTAACTTGTATATTTAACTGTTACATCTTGAATACTCTCGCATCCTTACACTAATTACATAAACTATATATATGAGGTACTGCGTGACCTACGTGTCGTTATACAAAACGTACACTCGCACAATCTTTTACTGAACGTGCTGATTTGCATCACTATACCACAAAGTCTTTTCTATTATTTTTAATAATAACTAAAGAAGATTATAAATTTGCTACTCACTTTTAATAAAGTCCATGTGTATTGTTAATTTATTATATATATATATATATATATATAAATTTATTGTTCATGCATGTCCATAAATAAATAAATACTTATTGCAAGTGTGTTAATAGTCATACTAGTATCACAGATAAGATAATCTTACATACTAGTATTATGTAATATTATGTTATCTGTGCCAGTATTAAAACCGCGCATACAGCCATGACGCGCTCGTCGATCCTACTGCGACTGTGCGCCGTACAATATTGTGCATCTGTGGCGCATTACGTTTGCGCGCGAAAATAGAAAATACTACAAAATGGCGTCTTCTGCAGACATACTGATTAATTATTGTTCTGTTCATTGTTACCTATTTTATACTAATTATGTCTGCAATTTACTTTTATTATAATAAAACACCTATATTTTATGAAATAGAAATAGAAATAACCTTTAATCAAATTAACTCATTACAAGCACTTTTGAATAGTCATATTTTGATTCTACCACTCATTCGGAATGCAGATTCATCACAAGAAGAATGAGCAAGAAACTTGTGTGTTGCTCTTTTTAATAGATGTTTTTTTTATATAAATATTTACAGTATAACAAGTAAGAGGCATGCGATAATCAACATAGAAATCGCTACGCACTCATTATTAGTGTAATCAGATAATATTGTCAGTGCTATGGATTTAAAGTTTTTCTATAAAAACATTATTATCGTTAACGAATTCTTCAATTTTATAGTAAGCTTTTTTGCAAAGGAACTGTTTTATTTGACATTTAAATCTTTTTTCTGGCAGATTTATAACAGACTCTGGTATTTTATATGTTCAGTTATTGTCACTTTTCATGTATACTTTGTTAGTAGTTTAGACCTTAAGTGCTATCATCGTCGTTGTTTGCCTATTGTATTAATTTACTAATAAAGGCTATAACAGAATAACAGTGAGGGTGGACTCACTGTCCCCACTGAGTTATAGAGCGTTATGCTTCTACATTACTTTTAAATGTTATTATTATATAAGCAGCAATTTTATTAGTTTTTATTAGACACAAATAAAGATGATTATTATTATTATACACAACAAATCTGAATATAAATACAGCCCCTAGTCACCAGCGTTGTTAGGTAACCAAGGGTCCAGGGGCAAATAAAAAAATGGGGCTAAAAATATTATCAAAAGGCACATGTCGCTATCCGTCAAATTAACAAAACTGCCAACCAGAAAGAATTTAGAGGAATTTCGAAGGTATAATTTTCGAATTTCTCTCAACTGAGATGATGGCATCTCAGTTGAGAGAAAATTAATCATGGGATTAAAGTTCGTAAAAGGTTGCAACCTATCATATTTATTTTGAAAATTGGAGAAATTTTGAAAAGTTCTGTTTGATCGAGATATTCTGGTAAGGGTTCGAGGGCCCCCTGAACTTGAGGGCCCCAGGGCACTGCCCCGGCTAGCCCCTAGGTAGGCACGCCACTAGTAACATACCTAACAGGTGCATTCAAATGTAGACAGTAACTACATTACTTACGTTGGATAATCGTCTGCATGTAGACACAGCGAGTTTGTGAACAGCTCGCATTTTGCCTGCTCGCTTGGTGTTGGCAGCTTCCTCGCTGGTAAGGGTCGTCTCCTGATAGGATTAAGGGTCGGTTCCGCTGTAGTTCTGCGGCCAACTGGAGGTTTAGGCGAGTAGGAACCCCGTCTAAACAAGTTGCCTGAAATTATAGTTGTAAGAGATTGGTTTCTGTTGCGAGTTGTAATAATACAATGTTGTCGGTTGAGACGATGTATATTACAGATGATAATATTCTGATAAAATTTACATAAAAATATTGATCTTATATACTAAATAACAATAGGAAAGTGTAAAGTGGGGTGACATAGTTTAGACACGGCAGTGCTTATAAGACAATATTGAGTTTGTCTGACTAGGCATATATAATTGCAATTATTGTATTGATGTATCTAGGTAACTGTGTCCTATAGTTTCCAAAATGTCGCCTTTTGTTTAGCACATTTATGCACTATAATTTAACAAATTTACGTAAAATTATCATCGTTTAATTAGATAACAACAGTTATTTATGATTTTTCTTGAAGAATTGCATATTATCTAAGTTGCACAAGGTTACTGGTAATCTTTATATATAAAAATTACGTGTCACGTCACGTTGCTTGTCAGCGATGGACTCCTAACTACTGAACCGATTGCAAATTTGATTTGCACATTGTGTGCAATTTGATCCAAATTAAAAGATGGGATAGCGTACATCTCAATTTGTAGTCGCAATATTATTTTATTCAATATATTTTTGGACCCATGCAGAAAATACTGTTATTTATAGACAGTTTTAGATTAACTACTGGTCGTTTGGTCGAAATTAATTTAAATTATAAGTTTGAAAATAGTTATGATTCGACTGTCAAAGAGCTATACATCTATGCATGTGTGGGTCAAGTATATGATAGTTGTATAATTAAAAAAAAAATATTAGGATTCTACACTCCTTCTCTATATCTTATATATAAAATTCTGGTGTCATAGTTTTCGTTCCCATACTCCTCCGAAACGGCTTGACCGATTCTCATGAAATTTTGTGCGTATTGAGTAGGCCTGAGAATCGGCCAACATCTATTTTTCATCCCCCTAAATGTTAGGGGTAGTCCACCTCTAATTTTTTTTTATTTTTAAGATAAAACAACGTTTGCCTGGACAGCTAGTAAACTATATAAGTGTGCGAATTTTTTTAAGAAGTGGTACAAAGTTTTTGCTTTAAGTATTTATTATTATTATAGCCTTTATTCAGATCCAGCTTATACATTATTTTAAAACAAACATAAAGCTTTAAAACTTAAAACGAATTAATTATTCTATTAATTGAATCTTTTTTAATGTCTGTAGATCTGTTTGCCAATCGGCAAAGGCCTCATCCAATCGTTTCCATTCTTCTCTTTCTTGTGCCACTCTGTTCCACATTACTCCTGCCACTGTCCTAATGTCATCATCCCATCTTGGGCTGGGTCTGCCTCTTTTTCTTTTTCCTTCCCTGAGATACCATCTTATCACTTTCTTACTCCATTTATCATATCCTCTTATTATGTGACTTTAAGTACATTATATTATATTAATGTAATGATTCTTTTTTGAGTAAATATTTTATGGGCCTTTTTCCTTTCAATGACATAAAAAAGTGGTTCAGAAGTTGACTTCCCTTTTTGTACTTTAAATTTATATAGACGATCTATAAAATTCTCATGTTACAAAACTACTCTGAAACGGCTTGAACGATTCTTATGAAATTTTGTGTATATAATCAGCAGGGATAGGACGTAAAGTATTTTTCATACCCCTAAGGGACTAAGGACCAACCAAAATTTTTTTTTGAGATCTCGTTTTATTTTTTTGTTATGGTTCGTCATTAAATATATGCATATTGCAACCTAAAATTTTAACCCTTCTACCATCATACTATTTTTTAATAGTGATATTTTTTTTTTGGGTTGATAATGAAATGTTGCACCTGCCTGCGCTAGCGGTTTACGCTGGCGGGGCACCAGTGGAGGATGATAGGATGAGTATAAAGGTCAGGTCAGCCCATCGTGACAAATTCACTAGGAATTTATCACGATGGTTTCCAGGGGGACCGCGTGGAGGTCGACCTAATATAGTACATTGCTAGCAATGGGAATTACTAGTTCCCATTACTAGCAATCCCCTTTCCCCCAATAGTGATATTAAGGTCTATGGGAAAACAACGTTTGCCGGGCTACTTAAATTTAGATTACAGATAGTATAGTATAGAAAAGGAAAGGGTTTGTTCATAATGAAGTATAGTAATATAGCATGTTAGATGGACCTCCACGCGGTCCGCCGGGAAATCATCGTTGTTAATTTCTGGTGAATTCATCACTATAGGTTAATTAGCCTAACTTCATGCATCCTTCACTGATGCCCCGTCAGCGTATACCATTAGTCAGCCAGTAAAAAAATCAACATCATTCATTAAAAGAAATGTGATAGATTACCTTTTCGGTCGATGTATCTGTTAAGTGCTCGTAACTTCTCGGCCACTGGTAGATCCTGTGCCAGGGTCTGATTGGTGGAGTCTGCTGCCAGGTCTATTGTGTTGTTATCATATTTGGTTGTATTGAGTTCCGCTCTCGCAGTTGACACAGCTTCAGTAGACGCTGAAATCTTTGGAGACTTTTTCTGAAATTTTTTTTAAAGAAACATATTAAAACTTTGTGGTTTAGTGGCTGTTTGTGGTAAATACATATATAAAATACATCTAAAACACCCAGACCGATGCAAACAATCATACTCATGAATACAATTGTTTGTATCGTTCGAGGAATCGAACCCCACCACCGAGGACCGTCAACTTTGGTAAGTCGAAAAATTATTATTATACTAGCTGTTCCCGCGACTTCTTCCGCGTGAAATTCAAAACATCAAAATCTGTCCAGCCATTTCAGAGATTAGCCGGAACAAACAGACAGACAGACAGACAAAAATTATAAAAAATGTTATTTCGATGAATGTAGCGTATTTATATTCATATGAATGTAATAAAAAACGGTTATTTCAATATTACAAACAGACACTCCAATTTTATTTATAATACACTATTAATTAATTACATTCTATTATAAAAGCCTAATATATTAATTAACTAACAATACAACAATAAACTACACGTAATTACACAGGTTTAATTAATGTTACAATGTTAAATTAAACACAATAATAATTAAAACTGCAGTTCAAGGCCTAACTGACAATTTAGTGCACTTATATAACTATAAATCATATGTTGACAGCGATAAGTTGATATAAAAATAAAAATTCAATTATTGTTTATATTAAATTACTGAATTTTATAGTATTTATATGCCAACTAGGCTAAACATGGACTAGTCCATGTACCTAACATCTATTTATGATTACATTGTATAAAACCAAGTCGCTGTCGCTGTCCGTCCCTATGTATACTTAAATCTTTAAAACTATTCAACAGATTTTGAAGCGGTTTTTTTAATAGATAAAGTGATTCAAGAGGAAGGTTTATATATATAGTATGTACATGTACACTCGTGCGAAGTCGGGGCAAGTAGCTAGTTACATAGTATAAAAATAAAGCGCTGTCGCTGTCCGTCCCTATGTGTGCTTAAATCTTTAAAACTACTCAACGGATTTTGAAACGGTTTTTTTAATTGATAGAGTGATTCAAGAGGAAGGTTTATATATATAGTACATGTACACCCGTGCGAAGTCAGGGCGAGTAGCTAGTAATAGTATAAAATAAAGTCGCTGCTGGATTCTGATCGCTTATATCTTTTAAATTACGCAACGGATTTTAATACAGTTTTCAGCAATCATCATCATCATCATCATCATCGCAGCCCGGAAGACGTCCACTGCTGGACATAGGCCTCCCCCAAAGATCTCTACGACGATCGGTCCTGCGCTGCTCGCATCCAATGCCTTCCAGCGATCTTGACCAGATCGTCGGTCCACCTTTTCAGCAATAGATAGAGTGATTCAAGAGGAAGTTTATATATATAATACATGCATGTTATACTATAGAACATGCCGAGAAATTAAATGATTATTACAGCATCCGTGCGAAGCTTTTAGTTCTAGAAAATTGGTTAAGTTGTTAAGGCGCCAAGACAAATCAAATTCACTTGAACTTTATTTTTAGTAATATGGTTGTGTAATGCATATTCTGACACGTAATGTACTGAGATAAATGTTTAACGGCTTTCACATGACTGTCAGTAATAACACTGCCTTAAAAGATTGTACGTACAGACAGTAATTTTATTATTATATCTAAAATTATGTTAGTAGTAAATCACACGTAACAAAAAATGAAAATTGTATCATATATATGAAAGCATGATAACCAACAGATCAACACAAATATAAATATAAACAAATACATAACGCATGTATAGAACACGTCACTGCAGGTCGGGTTCATTGAAATAATTCTTAAAATTTGTTTTTGTATTTGTAAATTTCAATAAAATATTTCTATGAAAGAAAATCGGAATAAATTTATAATGTGGTTGAAATTACTTCATTTTCCAATTTATATTTATTCACGTACCAATGAAAGATTTGGTTAAGTTTTGTTTCATTAATATACACGTATGAAGACGGGGTATGGAGCTAGTGTATGAATGAGTGTATGTAGGTCCATTCACAAATAGGTTATATAAATACAATAGCTGTGCCCGCGGTTTCACCCGCCAGTGATGTTTCATCAAAATCCGTTCAGCAATTTTTGCGTGTAAAAACATTCATCCGTTCATCCATATTTACAATAATAATAATAATAATCTCAGGACAATTCACACAGCGCCATCTAGTCCCAAGTTAAACTAGCTAAAGCTTGTGTTACGGGTACTAGATAACTGATACAGATACATAGATATTTTTTTTTGTAAATACATACATATTATATATAGAAAATACCCAGACCGATACAAACAATCATACTCATGAATACAAATGTTTGTGCCGTGCGAGGAATCGAACCCGCGACCATCGGACGTAAAGCGGTGTGCTAGACCGCTAGACCACCGAGGTCGTCAAACTACAAACTTTCGCGTTTATAATATTATGTTATCTGTGATATTAGTAAGAATAATTTCTTAAGGTAATTCTTAAGATAAGATTTAATTTATTGTAATAATATTTTTAAACTATTGTATAGTTTAAAAATATTTATACAGTTTTAATAATTGTTAGTCTAAGAATTACTAGAATAAATACAAAATAATAGACAAAAATATTGTAACATAAGCTAACGGTAAATACATTCACCTTAATTGAATTAAAAAAATGATTTGTACTTTTGTAATAATTTATAAACTCATTTGAATAGAATAAGAGCAGAGTTTCTTGTCAGTCCTTCATAACTGATTGTTAATTTGTCTTGGGTATCTCTTAGACGTACATGAATAAAAATATTTTGATTGGCTAAAACGAATTCTTTTTTTTTTATAATACAGGGGACAAACGAGCATGCGGCTCACCTGACGGTAAGTGATTACCGCCGCCCATGAGCACCCGCAACACCAGGGGAATTGCAAGTACGTTGTCGGCCTTTTCAAAGGAATAAGCTCTTTTCTTGAAGGTATCAATATCGTATCGGTTCGGAAATACTATTGCTGGAAGGTGATTCCACATTGTGGTTAGTTCCACAATTCTGGCCGGATGTGTTCTTGTAGCCTTTGAAGATATATTTGTATATTGTATACTTACATTGTCATAAACTTTATGTGAATTGATTTCAGTATCAGTTGTTTTAGTGTCTTTTGTATCAATTTTTTCGTCCGCTACGTTTTGTGATTGATTTCTCTGCGGTATGATTCTGCGGTTTCTTAATCTCTGAATGAATGGCGGTCTAGTGGATGTCTGTGGGTATGATACATCGAACGGTTCTTCATCTAACGTGTCTTCTGTGAATGATCGTCTTGAAATTTGTGCCTGTGGTACGAGTGGTTGTGTGATTTCTCTCAACTGCTTGCCGGGTCTGACGGCGCGTCTAATTAAATTCGCCATGTCTAATAGTATTGGTAGCATTAAGTCTGTCGTTGTGTTTGCATCATTACCGAACATCGATCTCACCTGGAACGTAAAATTAGGTTGTCTGTTAAATATTACTTTGCAACTTATTTAATACTGACTGTACTTGCGACTCCGTCCGCATGGAATTTAACTTTATGTTTCTAAAATAAAAGTAGGGCAAGTTACTCCTTATTACATCAGATACCTGTCAATAAAAGTCCCGTCAGAATTGGTCCAGCCATTCCAAAGATTAGCCGGAACAAACAGACAGAAAAAAATTGTAAAAATGTTATTTTGGTATATGTAACGTTTTTATATTTATATGTATGTAGTAAAAAATGGTTATTTCAATATTATATAACACAAAACACACAAACAGACACTCCAATTTTATTTATATGTATACATACATAAACTCCAGCATAGGGTTGTTATAATATAACTTTAAATAAGGTAAATGCAACTTATTTGTAATATTTACTTTATATATATAAACTATATTATGAGGGTTTTTCATGAAGGGTTTATTAAGGTTTCTTAAGGATTCTTAAGGACCTCGTATTTCAGGCGTCCATAGACTTCGGTAAATGTTTACCATCAGATGGGTCATGTGCTTCGTTGCCACCACAAATGTACATAAAAATATATGTGTGTAATGCTGTTTGTACATGGAAAGTACATAAGAAAATATATTTTTGGAGAACTATATTTAAATAATAGAAAACCAAAACAATTATTTAGTATTTTTTATTATTTATTGGTCAATTAAATTCTGGTGATTAAATTTTTCTTGATTAACCAATGAATCAGAACAGGTCTTATTAAATTAATATACCTATTTTATTTCTTAATTATTAAAATTATGCTTCTTTGAAAAATAATTAAAATTAAGTAACAATAAATTACTGCAAAAACATCATTACATAGTATAAAACAAAGTCGCTGTCGCTATCTGTCCGTCCCTATGTATGCTTAAATCTTTAAAACTACGCAACGGATTTTGAAGCAGTTTTTTTAATAGAGTGATTCAAGATGAATGTTTATATATATAATATATGTATACCCGTGCGAAGCCGGGGCGAGTAGCTAGTATTCTATAAATCTAATAACACCCAGGAATATTCATTATTAATCTTATACTACGATGGTGATAAACAAACATACGGCCCATCTGATGGTAAATGGTTACCATAGCCTATGGACGCCTAAGACACTAGAAGTGTCACATATGCGTTTCCGAACGAAATTCTCTAAAATCGCTCGTGCCTGAGACACCAGGGGTGTCACGTATGCGTTTCCGAACGAATTTCTCTAAAATCGCTCTTGCCTGAGACACCAGGGGTGTCACGTATGCGTTTCCGAACGAATTTCTCTAAAATCGCTCTTGCCTGAGACACCAGGGGTGTCACGTATGCGTTTCCGAACGAAATTCTCTAAAATCGCTCTTGCCTGAGACACCAGGGGTGTCACGTATGCGTTTCCGAACGAAATTCTCTAAAATCGCTCTTGCCTGAGACACCAGGGGTGTCACGTATGCGTTTCCGAACGAAATTCTCTAAAATCGCTCTTGCCTGAGACACCAGGGGTGTCACGTACGCCGACATTCTCTAATACAGCTTTTTGTAATTATTGTAGTTACTGCAGTTTATTAAATAAGTTTGTAATATTAACACAATAGCTGTGCGTTACCTTATCATCAAAATATACGTTTCATTGAATATTACATCAGCATTGTTTACATTATCTCCATTATTAAGGTTATGGGAAAACCTAGGCCCACTTTTTCGGTATTATGTTAAAGCCAAAAATATTGGCATTGTACTAATTTGGTACGGCGGTTCAAGTATAAGTCTTGTTCATATTAATTACGTTTGTTGAATAATCATAATAGTGTATTATGTCAGGGAACATTGACACTAATAACAATGTTTTAAAGTTGTTTTATTTGCTGATTAAATGAAACGAAATGAAAATTCTTTATTGTTCTCCTCATAGGATACAAACGAACATTTGTATATACTATTAATATATAAATATGTATAAATAGACAACGTTGGCAAAGGAATGAGGCAACGAGCAAAACAATGGGCGGCCTTATCGCTGAAAAGCGATTTCTTCCAGGTTATCATAGGATGTAGATGGAGAAATCTACATACTATTATATATATATATATATATATATATATTATATATTTTTTACGAATGGTGATAGAACATCTCGATGGAAGAAATCGGAATTGTAACTTGGAACTATTTAAAATTTCCAGATAGAACATTCAAAATTGGTATTTAATAATTTTCAACTACTATCTATATATGAATTAGGATTTTTTTAAATAAAAAATATAAATGAGTTTTGGTTAAGTTCGGTTTTTTAAGTTACCACGAAGAAACCGGATATTTCTTCCGTCGATATCCTTCCTCGTCCTTTAGATCATGCGAATGAGCTAAAGATACCTTTCTTTTTGTGAAAATCTTTGAAATAAAATACAAAACAGTGCTTATATAATGAATTTTCAGATTGTAAAATAAACATATTTAAAGTAAATCTAACTAGAGTGAAATGTTCATATTAACTGCATATACTATTGACAAAATTTAGATAGATAGTTAAAATATTTATTTACGTTAAATACGCAAACACACATAAGGCACTGTAATATTAACAACAATATTAAAAAGTAGATACACAATTACATTGGTTAGTCAATAATATACAATATAATACAGATGTACAGATAATGTACAATAGAGGTACAAAAAATTTCATCGAGTTTAATTATTTATTGTAGAAAATTTCCTCAGTATCCCGTTTTGTATGGATAGGGATAAGGGGCATGCAGCAATAATTCTAAGCACTAACATCTCTCTGTACCTTGTTGTGGCTTTCGTTAGCTTTAGTAAGATAAGATAAGATTAATCTATATGATGTAAAGAAGCGTAATGAATGAATCTGTATTGACGTAACATTTTAACTGTAAAAAATCGGCCAGGGAAAGTGAATTACTGACGTAAGTGATCGAAATGAAAGTGTAATGAGCTATTTGTTCGTCAGCTTATATATAACTATTTACAGTAATCTGCCCATAAAACTATTTGTAACTTCTTTTGATGGTGTATAATGGTATGGTGGTATAAGATAAAGTACAGCCATACTCCGTCAATTGCCTAACTGACCCGACTGACCTGACCTTGTCGTCATAACCATAATCTTTAACTCCATAACTCCATCTAGTAAGCAATAGATAACCTGCTAATTTAACAGTCCCAAATAAGACTTGAATTGAACTTTAAAGTTATAGAACTGAAGGTCTATTTTAACAAAAATAAAATTAATATTGCTCCTCAAACCACTCTCGAAACCGCAGTTGTTTTTAGTGATAATGGAATGGTGCACCCGCCTGCGCTAACGGTATACGCTGGCGGGGCACCAGTGGAGGATGATAAGATGACTATGAGGTCAGGCCAGTTAGAGCATAGTGGCAAATTTACCAGGAATTTAATATTATGGTTACTATGTGTAACCGCGTGGAGGTCAATCTGACATGATACTGTTAATTATCGCGTGAGGCACCATTAATAAAAATGGTAAATCAATAATCATGTTCCTTTATCTAAGGCATTTAGAGAAACCTGTAACGGAATTCGGTTTAAAATTGACAAAGTTTCATACAAACTTCCATCCCTTATTATATCCCCTTGGGGGTAGAATTAATCAAAATCCTTTCTTAGCGGATGCCTACGTCATAACATCTAACTGCATGCCAAATTTCAGAACGATCCGACCAGTGGTTTGGGCTGTGCGTTGATAGATCACTATATCAGTCACCTTTGAGTTATATATATTTAGATATATTTACAAAAAAGATCAAATTCAAAAACAACTTATCGTAAAGGAGTAACAAGTATTCATCCTTGCATTCATAAACACTCACAAACTTCCACGTTTATAATGTTAGTAAGATGTAGCTAATAATAACCCACTTTAAAAAAAAAGTAGTTGTTACGCATTTAACGTACCATAAATTATACTTTATCTGCAAACATTTTTAACTGTGAAGTGTAACAGAAGCATAAAAATACAACAGTAAACCATAAATATGGTCATTCGAGCTTCACGGATCGTAATTAAAAAGAAAGTGGGTGAGAATATAACTGACGCCGGCGTAAAGTTGTAATCGAGTTCATTACTAATAATGTCTTTAAAATCTTGTGCTTTATGGAAATTTATATTGTATGTTGTTTATTTATTTATTTAATTCGGATTACATCCATATTGTCTATGTTAGTAAATTATAATATACAGATATACATACACACTTAATTCATATATCTGTGTGGACACAGAGCAGAGAGAGTCCAGAGCATCTGATACATTTGCAATACTTGTTAGGATGCTGTTTGCGCATGTTTATATTATAATAAATCTACAAGCTTAGCTTTATTAGGAAATAAGTATAGTGGAATCTAGAAATTATATAAATCTCAAAGACCCTCGGTGGTCTAGCGGTTTAGTACACCTTGCTTCCGATGGTGGCGGGTTCGATTCCTCGCACGGCAAAAATATTTGTATTCATGAATACGATTGTTTGTATTGATCTGCGGCTGGATAAGGCTGTGTGAACTGACCTGAGTTATCATTATCTTTAGACCGTCGTGGCGTAGTGGTCTACTACTCCGACTGAGACCACAATGTCGTGAGTTCGATTCTAATCGACGCCAAAAAAACTTGTGCGTGTCAATTTATATTTCTGACAGTCGGATCATAGTCTACTACAGATCTAGACTTTATAAAGTGTTGTCTGTTTGGGTACCTCTGTTGCACCAATTTCAGTCTAGGGGCATGCTTTGTTTCGTTTCGGTATGATTTAATAGTGAAGTTACTACTGTAATAAGTAGGATATGCTCTAAGTCCTGGAAGATTGTCCAGCGTTTACGGATGAGCGCCGTGTCTTCACCCACATAGTGAGGGTTGATTTCTATTTGCTGGTTGTAGTTGAAATTGTGGTGAGCAGCGCGAGGTCATGGCTGGCGGTAACCTCCTTCTGCGAGAAAGTTATCTCACGGAAGAGGGGGAGATGGAGCGGGTGCCTGATCCCCCCACATTTTCAGCCTACAGCTGCGTAACAAACCACGCCCCACCTCTATACGTAACTGGTGCCGAAGTCCTCGCCTTGTAACAACGACCTAATCAAACAGTCCCAGAGGCGTGCTCGTAACTCGCTTCCACAACTAAGTAGGGCGAAATAGGTCGCCCTAAAAACTAGATGGGACTGGCCCTACACCATCTACAGGACCCAACGCCGCCGGAGTCACGGATGCTAACTCGTGACTTCGGCAATGGCGCTCGTTGGTACACCGTGTGATTTTTTCCCTCTGACGGGGGGAGGGTGTTTAGAAGATTTTTCCACATGATGAAAATAAAATGGTTCTGAAGGCATACTCGTGAACGGGTGCTGCTTGTGGGGACTGGTCTATTCAGGTTACGAACTCTGATTAGACTACTTGCTTTAGCAATAGCATATGCTGGTGGTTACTCTATTCTCCCAAATTTGAGGGTAGAGGTAGATATTTTTCTGCTACAATTAGCATGTGTGATTACAAATATTCAGCGCGTATCTTGAATACCATTACGACCTCCTGTATTGGTGATCAAATCCCAACCGTTACTGAGTCTACACCCAAATTGCGACACGTTTTTCACCTCTGAACGAGGCATCATCAGGCAATGAATACAGTTCGGATATATCTCGCAAGCCTCTCTCTCTATTCTACCAAATTTGAATTTAAAAATAAATCTGTATTATTGTAAACATGTACAACATTTGTTTGAAAAGAATACGAGCTGAGTTTCTTGTCAGTTCTTCACATAACGAAATCCTTCCGTAGATTTGACATACCCCAAGAGTCTGTAATAGACCTATATGAATAAAGATATTTTGTATTTGAATTTGCAGTACAGGGGCTGGTCTTGACAATCGACCGTCATAGTTTCAACAGTAATTTAATAATTACTAATAAGCTTCAACGCTTCCAAGTTTGGTTTCAATATAATGATCACATATGAGTACATAATAGTACAGTAGGCAACCGTACGATTGAATTGATCAGTTTCCTAAGAAAAATTAACGATCACGCGATACTGGCATTTTATTCGACATGCTATCATGCCAAGTAGCTGTATCATTAGTAAGAAGAATACGCACTTAAAAAGGTATTACTTATCTGTAAACCCACATAAGATTATATCAGACTAGCTATGTCTGCGACTTCGTCTGAGTTGACCTTGACGAAATAGGGAAAAAATATTTAATGATCTAACCCAAAAAAGCAAATGAAAAAGTTTCATCGTTCTCGTTTCAAAAATGACGAATTTTCATACAAACATTTATTCTCTATTTTATTTTATTTTAATGGTAAATATTTTACAAACTTTGAATGTCATATTTATTTATATTTTTAGTCAACAGTCTAACAATACATTTTAAAGTAAGAGCTTAAGTACTTGCTTTAAAAATTACTAAAATTCCATATAACTTTTCATGTAGGGCACATGCAGTCTACCCTTTAGAATCCTTTTTTCGCATACTAAGTATCCTATATC